GTACATGCGCATAAGTATATGTGAGTTGTATGCCAGTCATGTGACTTTGATATTATCAATGTGTGTATTCATGTATGTTGCTTTGCTGTACTTGTGCATTGTAATGTTATGTGCGCTACCCTATGAAAACCTATATATCTCCATGCGTTTCTTTATGGCAACTGTCGGGTTTTGGTGGTTCACAGCGTGTCAACGTAATATCCTGTAAATACTTCTGTACGAAATCGTTTACCGTATTTATTATTTGACACAGATTTTGCAGCGGATAAGCTTATAGGTTTGGATGGTAAACTGTACATGTAAACCTGAGTTCTTGTACATTATAGTCTATCAAATGGCCGTGCTCGGTGCTGCATTTACCATCTATTGGCGCAGTGTACATTTTTATTGTTCAATAACCATATGTGTAAGAGTAAAGCTTTTCCTTTGCAACGTATGTAGTATATCGCATAAATATATATATTCTCGTGGACCTGCATTCTTGAGTATGAATGCTCGTGAATACAAACACATGGATGTGCGGTTGTATAGGAACACCGAGATATTGTCAGCACTCTATCGAAAGCTACAAATATCTTCACATAGATATGCTTACATTACATTTCGATCATTCCTGCCCGCCTGTCAGATTTTAGTCGGTTGTTTTACAACTGTTTTGTCGTTTAAAAGTGCTTTATTGGTGCATGTGATCGATTGTCCGCGTATGGCATTCCTCTGTTTCTGATTGTGATTTAAAAGCAGCATTGTTTTTCTGCATAAGAGGGAAGGAAGCCCAGGGTTCGATTTTTCTTTCCTTCTTTTTTTCGCTCAAGTCATCTCGTTTACTTTATGGACGTGAGACTATGGTTGATTTGAAATTCACTGGGAATTTTCCCAGTGGTCTTATGCACCCACTCTACTTCATATGTTCACTACTGAACATCAATGGGAACCCAATTTAGTGTGCACATTATGGGTACCCACCGTCCGAAGGTATGAGATACCTCCGCTTTGCATATGATTATAACCTGTATATTCCATTTTCTGGACGCAGGCGCGAGAATTCCGTGCTGCAATGCAAAAGTTACTTGGTGTTGAAGCACGACCGACCACTTCGGAGGCTGCCGCTGAAGTGCCCGTGCAGGATACGAACGTCACCCTATAAAGCCTGGCAGAATATTTAGTAAATGAAGGAGAGTGAGTACAAAGTCTATTCCAATTTTATTATGCCCAGATTTGGCTTGGCGAATAGAACGGGGTCGTAATTAATTCCCGGTAGTGGATCGCGTTGTACGTTTACTGCCCAAGTGGTAAGGCGGATGATCGGTGGGGGGATTACTTGTCGGTGAAGAGGCCACACAAAACACTACGAACTCCCAGAATCGCTTTAGTGGTGTCACGGGACACCGTTGGTAACACAGTTATACGAGACTTGTATGTCACTATTGTGTGAGGGCAGAGAACGTATACACCGTCTAGATGAATATCACGAGCAACAGCACACACACTGATGGACACAAATAAGTTCCAGGTTTTTGAAGGTGGTCCTTATACCATTTAAGGGGCAAGGCACGCTTTGAAATGCTATCATATATTTGCCAGGATTGTCCGAAGGTTCAGTTGACGTATTATTGAAGAGATGATAGCACATAATACCGAAATACAACTACAAGTGCACATTGGTTAGCTTTTCCAAAGATTGATAGGATGTTAGATTATATTAGCACCGATATACCTATTTGTGTGCTAGGCGAAGGGGAAGCTCTTAGACAAACATAAAAAAACAACGCTGGTTCGTAGCTGATCTTCTTATAACTGAAACCCAATGCTTGGGAGTTCCTCCGAACATATTGCCGATTCTGTCCGGGTTGGTGCACAGTGGCCTCTAAAAAGGCCTCTTGCAGAAATTTGTAGCCACAAATGATATGTACGCATAGTATATGTGTCATCTTCTATTTAGGCCGAGGTCGCCAGACCCAACAGTAAGGAGGCCCGGAGGGGGTTGAATATTCTTTTTCTTTTTTTGGATGAAACAATCTGTGGCAAAATTTTATGAAATGTCATCGGAATTCGAAATGTGATGATAATATTGAAAACTGTGTCCGAATTAAATTTTGTGTTTGTATTTATACAAATATGCATATTTATCCAAATTCTTGCGACTATACACCCTGTATGAGCCGGTACCCGAAGCCCTATCCAGGAACGCGCATCTCGCATACGCACACATTGACGTTTGGTATTAAGATAGTTATTGCTTACAGTTTTGAAGCATGATTTATTTATAATAATAATTTTGTACCGGAAGTTCCGGTCACTGCCCGTGCGCAACAATAATACAGTCATCCTGACTTTTGAAAACAGCAGGTATGTCTGACGAATGGGAACCCCCACCTATCCAGGGGTCAATAGACACCACCGCGATGCAGCGTAGTATGTCTGATATAGAGACCAGGACAGTCAATGATCTAGCAAGAGTTAATCTACATCACACCCTGCTTGAGTGCGATAGTAAGGAACAGCTAGGCGACGGTCACAGTTCAACGGTGAGAGCACGTAACAACAACGCAGAGGAACGTCCGGTAGAAATATCGGGGTTGTCAAACAATAGTTCGGTAGCTTATACATCTGCTTCTACGCCATCTGTTAGTAGTTCCAAGAGTTACTCTCGCTCTCAAAGCAATGTTAGCGAAGATTCAGGATTAGGCGCAAAAAGCACCAGTGCAAGCTATAGGCCAACTAAGGTCCACAGTAGAGTACATATGAGTGCAGGTACATCAGTGAAGTCGAATATGAACATTCGATCACTCAAGCATCACTCATCGGTGGTATCAAAAGAGAAGCCCGTCCAGAACAGATCTCTGCAAGCAAATGAAGACGAGAGTTTTGCCCTGGGAAGATTTGAATCGGTGGATCTCAAGACTGTTCACATGTGAGTATATATGCACATATACGCAGCGCAGCGAACCCGAATGGAATTGACCGTTGTAGAAGTATATTATATATATATATATATATATATATATATATATATATATATATATATATATATATA